CAGCATTATCATCCACAAAATATTATCATTGTCATCTTCAAATCACACGTCCCCATCCACAACACATCAGCATTATCATCCACAAAATATTATCATTATCATCCGCAAATCACAACTCGCCATCCACAACACATCAGCATTATTTACAAATCACACCTCCCCATCCAACACATCAGCATTATCATCCACAACATATCATCATTGTCATCTTCAAATCACACGTCCCCATCCACAACACATCAGCATTATCATCCACAAAATATCAGCATCATCACTCCACCGCACCCACCCCAGCAGGCCATCGCCGCAGCTACATGCACTCCCGCTGCCTGGTGTTCTCCACGTAGAAACACCCCACCCAAAAACCACAAACCCGCCGCCCGCCAAACCCGGCCCCGCACATCCAGACCCCACACATCCAGACCAGGCGCCCCGGCGCAGCCTCGGGCCCGGCGTTGGGACGGCATGGCGGCGGGCGGCGCAGGTCATCGCGTCACGTGACCGCGCCCGTCTTCTCCGCGGGCCCTGTTCGCGGCGCCCAACCTCTCTTTCTCAGCAGCAAAAACATGTTGACCCGTCTTAGCTCGAAGCTCCGCGGCCGACGGCTCTTTGGCCGCTCGCCCGTGGCCGCGTCGGACGTCCACTCGCAGATCCTCCGCATTCTCCAGGAGGCGCCCGCGGAGGAGCGTGTTGCGGCGCCGCCCGAACGCAAGAAGGGCATTGTGATTCTCGATCCCGAGCAGACGAAAAACAAGGAGTACGCGCGGTACGTGGCCACGCTCCAGCGGCGGGGGCCCGGCCCGGCCGCGGCGGCAGGTGGGTTTGGCGGCCCGGCCGTGTGGGCCGGTTTGGCCGCGGAAGAGCCGCGGCTCGTGGATGTGTTTGCGGCCATCGACGGGTTCCGGCCCGGCGCGGGCGTGGCGGCGGTGCCGTTCAGCGCGCGGCTGGCGGCGCGGGACTTGGCCGCGGCGTTCAAGCGGGCGCAGCTTGCGGAGTATGTGGAGACGCGTGCGCCGGCGCTCTACCGGCGGAGCCACACGAAGGCGCGCTTGGCCGAGACCATTGTGACGCGGGTGTGGGCGGGAGGGGTGTCTGGAGACATATCTGGAAACACGCCTGGAGGTCCCGGACACATGGCCACAGGCTTGCCCAGAGGCTTGGCCTCGGACCTCCCCCACCTCAGCTCGGTCCTCTCCCACGAACAAATCCCCCTCTCGCCGCAGCACATGTTCCTCTTGCTCAGCCGGCGCGGCGCCGTGCTCCGGCTCGTGCGGCGCACCGTCGCCCACTTGGACTTCGACGCCGCCCGCAACGAGCTCGTGCTCATCGGCACGCAGGGCCAGCTCCAGAACGCGCGGCTCAACTTGGCCGCCCGGCTCGACGCCGCCGTGCGCGAGGACGTCGACTTGGCCGCGCTCCACCCGCCCGCCGGGCTTGCCTTCGCGGACATCGCCCGCGTGGCCGACGTGCACCTCCAGCACGTGCACGGCCACACGTACCAGCTCTGCGCGTTCGCCCCGGCGCAGCTCAGGCGCGTCAAGCGCTTGTTGGTCTGGCACTGGGACGCGGCCCGCCGCGCGCCGCGCCGCCTCCATCTCCCGCCGCCGCCCGTGCTCGCCGCGGCCGTCTTGGTGCCGCACGCGGACGCCTACAGCATGCCGTGGCTCCGCCGCGCCGACGCGCTCTTCGAGCTCGCCCACGACGCGCGCCGCGTGCCGGGCGTGCTTGCCCGCGAGATGCGCCGCTTCTCCGCGGCCAGCCTCCGTAGCGCCGAGGCCACGGCCGACTACGGCCTGGTGCCGGGCTCGCTCTCGCCGCCGGCCTTGGCGGGCGTGTTTCCCGGCGCCGCGGACTTGGACGCCGTGTTCTCGGAACCTGCCGGCTTGGACCCTGCCGACCCGGAACCTGCTGACCCGCACCATGCCGGCTTGGAACCTGCTGGCACGCCCGCGGACCCCGACGACATGCTGCCCGGCGACGCGCTCGAGACCGTCATTGGCGAGCTCGCCGCGGCCCCCGCGGGGGCAGCCCCCAGGGCGCCGCTCCTCTCCACAGACTTGCGGACGCAGCTCTACAACGAGCTCGTGGACTTTGGCGCCGCCCCCGCGGGCCTGGACCCGCCCATGTTCACCGCCACGCTAGGCCGCGTGGTGTTCCGCGGCGAGCCCCAGCCGGGCGCCGTGCTCCCGCACGCCCCGCCCAAGGACCCGGCGCGCTTGGCCTCGGCGTTCGCGTTCACCACCAACATCCCGCTGGCCTACGACAAGATGCTCCACGAGGGCCTCGGCGACGCGGCCGCCGCGCCCGCGGGCGCGGACCCGCACACGTACAGCCTCCAGTTCAAGTTCGTGCCGTCGCCCTACGGCGTGCCGGGCGGCGCGGCCGCGCTCCGGCGCCACATGGCCCACCCGCCGCTCGAGATGTGGATGCAGCTCAACGACAACCAGGTCGTGGACGTCGAGTCGCTCCAGCTCGTCCGCGTGGAGGCCGAGAACTCCAGCTACGTGTGCTTGCCGCAGCACGGCTGCGACTTGAAGCTCTCGTGCCAGCGGACCGGGCGCGTGCTTCTGGACGAGCCGGTGCCTCTGGACGAGCCGGTGCCTCTGGACGAGCCGGGCCCGGCCGACCCCGCCGCCGCGCAGGCCTCGGGGCTCTTGGACGCGCTCTTCGACGCGCCGTCCAGCAAGTACCCGCGGCTCCGGGGACAGCCGGGCGTGCAGCGCTTTCTCGAGGAGTCGCAGTTGAACTTCAGCGGCAAGACCGCCACGTCCATCGCGCCGTACATGGACGTGCTCATGGACGGCCGCACGGTGCGCTACGCGTTCGTCTGCGTCAACTACCGCCGCGAGCTCGACCTCGAGATCGGCGAAGGCCAGATGGCCCAGGTGAGCGTGGTGGACGGCGGTCTGTTGGGCGGGCGCCGCGCAGAGGTGCGCTTTGTCGGCGACTTGGCCGCCGGCGTCGACCGCGCGGCGTTCGACGCCTTGATGGACTCCACGTGTGAGTTTGTCCGCGACTTGTAAATAGGAAACACGCGCCGGCTGCCGGGTTGGCGTGGCGTGGCGTGCGGCCCGGTTCTGCTCTGGCGGCGCTGTCGCTGGCATCGTTGCCTGCGGTGCTGACGGCTAATACATGCCCATGTACCGGTGCTTCTGTAGGAGACTGTCTCTTTCACTGTCTCTGTTGTGAGACTGTCTTTTCGCCGTCTCTTTTACTGTCTCTTTCACCATCTCTTTCACCGTCTCTTTCACCATCTCTTTCACCATCTCTTTCACCATCTCTTTCACCATCTCTTTCACCATCTCTTTCACCATCTCTTTCACCGTCTCTTTCACCATCTCTTTCACCATCTCTTTCACCATCTCTTTCACCATCTCTTTCACCATCTCTTTCGTGGCTCTGTTTCGTGACACTCTCTTTTGTAATGCCCCTTGTTTCCTGCTGACTCTGCTCGTTCAGTTTCCATTGTCTTGGTAAGGCTTATCCTAGACACCTCGTGGCTGCCCACCTGGATTCATGTCCTGGACCCACGCCAGGCGCCGTGCTTGATTTATCTTTTCCCCACAAGGCGCTGTTCGGCACGATCCTCAGTCCCATTCCCTATTTGCTTCGGTCTCATTGAGACCACGCCGCGTCTTGCTCAGCAATACTGCGTGTCTCTTCCAAAGACCGTCATCTCGTTCAAGACTCCGCGTCTTCTTTCGATGGTCCATTCTCTGCAGCAAGACACGCTTGGCGTCTTCGGAATATCTCATGACTGTCTTCTTTCCATAATCCGCCCTCTCTCATAATGGCACCCTTTCTTTCAATACTGGCGCCCTCCCTTCCACCACTACATCACTCCTTTGATAATCAAGTTCAAGGACTTATTAACAGAGAAGTTTCAAAAACAGTTGGAATTAGTGGGATTAGCCAACATTTATGAAATTACAATGAGAACTATCTTACAGTTGTTAACATTATCTTTAGGCTTACGTTTAAGTGCTAATATCATGGCTGGTCATCTTTTGCTTTTCCTTTAGGTGGCTTAATTTCAAAAATCCCTTATGAATTCCAGATGTAATGGTAAGTTGTTTAGAAAGCGATCCTTTTAAAGATATCAATATTTAGATTATGATGATTTATATTAAAATTTATATACTTATATTTATTAGTGATAAATCTGGGTAATTCAAAGATTACAAATCCGAGGGGTATTTATTCCAAGCCTTTATTACTATGTTAAGTATAATTTGAATCTTTGAATCATTCTAAAGCGTGCTCCCTCTTATGGTATTACAGATTAATTTGATGTCAAATGATAGAATCTAATCAACTAAAGATTTGAATTTTGAATCCTTTAAATGTTTTTGACTCATCGATCAATGTAGCAAAACTATACAAATAATATATAAACAGCCCTCAAACAGCTCCCAGCTACGTACCAAGTGTCGAAACTCGGTCCGTCCCCTTCCGTTATTCACGGCCTGGACTATCAAGTTTCCATCCAAGATCTTTTTTTTCTCCTTTTAGGTTCATGAGGCGTGTTGTCTTAACGGCGATTCACTCACTGTTATCTTTGGAGGTCGAAAAGCTTCTTGACACCTAGTCTATAGTCCTTGTGGTGTTGTTTCTCGGGCTGGTTCATAGGATTGTCCCCTTGGGTCGTCTTCTTCTGTGTCCTGTATGGACTGTAGCTAGATCTGAGGTTTGTGTCGGTTTCTCGTTTTGTCTAGTGAGCTCAGGCTGAGTTTGATGAGGCCGTAAGAACATTCTTCAAGCCGAAACGAACTGAAACAACAATATTCAGAAAACTAGAAAATTCAAAAACGGGGTCTCGAAAGAAGACACGATAGGGATGATCACACTCGCCACTGATTACTACAAGAAGCTTTACTCCCCGCCACCAGGGGTCTCCCAATCACAAGCAAATGAATTACTTCGCCCCTTGAAAGCACTCTTATCGGCAGAAGAGAGCACTATAATGTATACATCCTACACGGAACAGGAACTGTACAAATCACTTCATAAACATGGCTGAAAGAAAAGCGTCTGGATTGCAAAACATCAACGTTGGATCAGACCCAGACCCTTACGTGAGTAGCAAGAGAACAAAATGCAACAACGCAATTGGAAAGGGCCTCGAAAAACTCAAGAATATTCTTCCTGAGCGGCGAGCACACTGTGTCGGTTCCAATCAGCAGTGCAACATCTCCCGAGGAGACAATTCTAGAATTTAGACAAGTATTGACACGCAGCACAACGCAAGAAAAGACAGTGTGAGTTATATGGTCATGTTTTTCACTGAGCTGGCTTATATGCTGGTTTCGTTAGATCGGTTGTCAAAGTTACAAAGTCTCGTCAAGTCTGAATCGTAGTATCAGCTCAAATATCTCCTCTTCATATCTCTTTTTTGTTTCCTGCAGACTTTAAAGCATTCAATCCTGGCGGACCACGGGCAAGAAGCATTTGTGTTCAAGCAGATAAAGCTTCTGAGCTCCGGTTGAAAACATTTTAAATATTCCTCGTAGAGTAGGTAGAAGTACACTCCTGTTCCTGTGAGAAGATGCACCAACCGTATCGCATATACGTCATCGACTCCTAGAATAAGTCTCCCGTGGTAGCCGCTTCAACTCAAATGGTTGTAGCGGACTTAAGGAGCCAACTTCCTGCGGCTCGCCACGCCTTCGAATCTATACCTTGAAATCCATGTTGACGAACCATTTGATTTTATTCAATTCTCCAAAGAGCTGTCGGCCGGAGCCAACATTGCGTTCAACTCGTGGGCTTGGCATATCATAGCTCTTGCCACCAGTATTTGAATTTTTGCAGTTGTTGGAGATATGGCTTAGGAAAGCGTCTGTGGCGTCTCCGTTGTTGTGGATTTGGTATGTGCAAAGACGACATTGGAAATCCCATGTTTCTCTCGGTAGGGTCCTGCGAGGGACATATGATCCGTAGTTGGAGTGATGAATGGACGACAGATCATATCGCTTTATCCATTCTGCCTTATACAAGGCGTTCCAAAAGTTCTCGCGGACCGCGTGACAAAATGGAACAAATCGCTGGGGCAGTGTCGAGAGTTGCTTTCCTTGCCTCTTGCGACTCAAAGATTCGAAGCCCCTTACTAATGGCTTTTCTTTGCCTGTCCGTATTGTCTTTGCTAGCATTTGTTTGATATGCTCATGATTGTATCTTGAGCTATCTCCAGGTGTCGGTATTGCCCTTGTCCTGGGGACGACTACTTTTCACGCTTCAATATAAGCGATTCGTTTATCCAAGCCAAGTGTGTGAAGAATTGGCCTGTTTTGAAGCAAGAAGTTCTACCGTACGGAAGTGGTTATAAGCCTTGCACGTTGTTCGATACGATTTTATTCATGTGATGAAGCATTCGTATTTTAGGGTACTGAATATACCAGCTGTCTTTTCTTGGAGGGTATCCGTCAGCATCATTGCCTGATGCCCTTTCAGTTGTGTCAGTAGCTCGATAAGGCCATAGCGTTGTGAGGTCTCGAGTAAAGTTTTGACCTGTGGATTCCTGGGAACATTGCTTGAATATTGAAATCAATTTTGCCAAGTTCTCTGGCAGTCATAGATTGACACCCCCTTACAGCCCCATATGCCGCTTGATCTCAGGTGATTCTACAATGTCCCATGCTCGTTTCTACTCGTGTATTCGAAATACATAGACCATTACTATTCTATCGACCGGCTGTCCCCTCACTTCTTGCCTTGCTCCAACGTTCTCACGTGCTGCTCCAAGTTCTGCACGGTCTCGTTCAACTTCAACAAGTCAAGAAGAATCACGTTGTTGGACTTGGTGAACTCGTCTAGCAAGTAGTAGTACGAGGCCGCGCCGGTAGCAGAGACTCCCAACAAAAACCCGGTGAACCCACCTCTAAGAGCACCAACCTTTCTTGTGCTTGCTGCAGGTGCAGCAGTCGAGTACGAGCGGGCGGCACGGGTGGCCTGGGTCATAACACGGGAACTCAATGGCATTTTAAATATCGTGGTCGGTTCTACTGTAGTGCCAGTTTTTTTCGTCCGTTTCTACGGTTCGCGCTTGGCCCCAAAGCCTGCGTCTGGCCTGAGAAATTCCCGGAGTTCTACCAAAAGAAGGGGACCGAAAGAGTCTCTAGAATCCCCAAGTCCTGTTAAAGGCTATCTCGGTTATCTTTAAAAAGAAAATATTGGATACTTCCACACCGTTCTGGAGCACGGATTGGACAAAGGCTATTTTATGCAGGCCGCGGCTCGTGCAATAGGAGCGGTCCAATTTCCCAGCAAATCTCATATCGCCATTTTCAAACGAAGAGCGCAGCAGCCAACATAAAGGCGCTAGGGTGAAGAGAAAGGGCGTTGGGAATATTTGTGTTACTGTCAATTTCTTGCTTATAATATTCACGTGGAACAAGTCCTTCCTAACGAAGCACTTGAACTTTTCAGCGCACTACCCTGGTTCAGAAGACTGTAGGTTCTGTAATGTTGGCTAAGTTCTTTGGCTCAACGCACTTTTTTTTTTGAGGATTCATCTGATCAGAGAAAAAAAAAACACACTAATATCATGTATAAAAACCCTCTAAACGGCTTTCAGATCCGAAAATGGTAAATCTCTTTGTATAGCGTGTCATCTTTATGCAAGGACAATGCTAATCTTCTTTGCATTGTTAAAATTGACAGATGTACCATCGAGAATAATAGTACGATTCTTTCTCTCACTTCTTTTGAAACAGCCTTGGTTTCTGGGCACATATGAGAGAGGACTGGTTCCCTCAAATTCGCCAGAAACATTGAAAGGTGACAAACAAAAAGGACTGCAATCGGCCTCAGTGTATGTTATTTGCGGAGCATCTTTGTTCTTTATAGAAGGCAACATAGAACAAGCATGCTTTCATAAAAGCATGACCTTTTTTTTCTCTATGGTAGATTCATTTAATTGAAAGAGCAAAACTATGCAATGATACATATGAAAAAAAATTGAAACAGTTTGGAGATCCGAACCGGTAATTACGGCCTGAATTGTCCTCTTGACCCGTATTGGTTTACGTATTGAATTTAACTTCATCGATTCCGAGGATAAGTCTTCTGCAGTAGTTGCTAATTAGTCAATCAGACTGGTTCGCTCGACCCAAATTTGCAGTAAAAGCGTGCTCGTGGCCCCAACCTAAAACAAATAAGAGCGATATATCCCCGATCAGCCGTCCTTTTTCATGAGACCTTTATTCCTTGTCACATCAATCCGATATTCCTTCTTCTGTGTGCGCATTCATTGGTCAAATGAAACGCTATTTGGTACCACTTCATAATTCCTTTAGGATATTGCAAGGTCCCTGTTATCAGCTGAACACTGATGGTGCCTATAAGCGCATATTGGGTATGCACTTCTGGTATGAGTTCCGTTTGATGTATGTCGAGCCCTCATTGTTCATTCTCTTTTCCGTCTCTTACCCGTCACAATCACGTCGTAAGATGTGTAAGACGGATGTGATTCTTATGTTATTCTAAGAAGTCAGTACAGAGGATTACGAACCCGTATAGGGCTCATACCGCATTTTGGTGTTTCCTTTAGGTACTGAGTCTTGTGTCTGAATCAAAACCTTGCCGTCTTGAAAATTATGAGCTATTTTGTGGCTCACCCAAACAAGGAAAGGTATATGGCAGAAAAGGCAAAAAGATTGCAGCACCACAATTTCGCATATGGTCTCCCACTACACTACTCAGTGTGGCCCTATGCAGCTTAACTAACGTTGATCGGACGGGAAACAGTGCTTCCTGCATGGTATGGCCGCAACCGAAATTAAAAATGCTCTGTACTACTATATAAATTCTCCTAGTTGTCGGAAATTAGAAGTGCACATGTTCACTCGAAATTCACATATCTACGTTTTTTTTTATTTTTAAAGCCCGCTAGCTGTACGCTAAAAAAATTATAAGGCCCCGAAGGTCTCATTTTCCTGCTTTTGGTGAATAAAACATAAATAGTGTTTCTGAGAAAAATTGGGACTCTGTTCATGGGGTTGTGGTAAAACAATAAAGAGTTGTGATGTATTTCTGAATAGCCTCAAGATAATCAACACTACTTTTGCAGACAATGGGTTCCCCTGGGTTTCAAATCTTGGATGACGCCAACAAAGAACGGCGGTCCATACCTGCGCAAGAATCAAACTGAACAAATCCACTGGGCCTGGGCCAAAACTCAAGAGGAATACATGCCTCATGGGACAATAGCATTTAGTTGTTTTATTCAATGTTTTGTATTGGTTATGAGCAGAAGTCTTTTTGAGGGAGTCACATCTTCTTTGCGAGATTTCGTGAATTGGTGCTCGCGCCTTCCACCTGAGCCAATGTTGCGATCTATCATGGGTTTTTTCTTTATACTTTTTGGTTTGTGGCGGTCTTGCATCCCTCCAGAGACAACTTATAATACGATGTTTCTTTAATAAAAAAGAGAATTGACTAGGGTGGCATATTTCCCCTCTATACTTGTCCATATCACGTGCGGTGAGTTTTCTATTGAAAGTGGCTGCGGTTGCTATTTCCAGGCCACAACCACAATTGACCAATTTAATGAGCTGTCTGGACAATTCATTTAAACTTGTAGCTGTATTCCTTTTGTCAAATGGGTTCCTGGGAAAAGATGCGGGCACCAGCTATGTGATGTATTGGCTTCGTTTTGGACCCGCGGCCTGTGCCACGACCTCGTATTTTCCCCTCAAAGGAGCCTGATAGCTGGACTTCAACAAACATCGACCTTAGCACAGCTGTGAGTATCAGGAATGAGAATTTGAATTTTCCGTAGTCAGGAAAGAGCGTTTCTGCGCTGTGTTGCTATGCCCGGCCACGTTTCTGAATCAGCTCTTGTTATTGAGCTCATGAGCCTACTTTTTGAAACGCGAAGTTTAATGTGCTTTCAGGCACTTTTCGGAGGCTGGGCCACCCCTGTTAATTTCATGACTTTTTTCGCATCTCAGGTAAGGTGGTACTAGCAGTCTCTGGTGGGTGCCAAAGGCATGATACAAGCACCGGTTGAAGATCTTTCCCCACGTTGGTCACAAGAGGCCTCAGGCCCCAGAGCTATCGTCGGACAGCCACTGATCCAAATGCCATATTCCTATATTTTTATGAATACTTCACAGTTTTGTTTTTAAGCAGAAGAAATAAGAGTTTTCCGAATGTAGGAGCAGGCGTGGGTGCGAAAACCGTCGGTGCCGGTCTTTGCAACATAGAAAGCCCAGGTTTTTGCCCATAATCCTGCCCCGAGAAGACAAAAGGTCCACATTGGGAGTCTTCGGCGACGGAGCAAGCATTGGCCGTTTTATTTCTAGTTGGATGGAAAATACTATGTGGGGGGAAGGGGGCAAAACGTACTGTTTTTTTTTTTTCATTTTTTTTTTCGTACTGGTTTATAGTGTCGTACTGGTTGTTAGTTTTCACACTGGTTGATTAGTTTTCACACTGGTTGATTGTTTCCGTATCGGTTCTTTAGTTCTCATATCAGTTTCCTAGTTTTCATACTGGTTTTTTGTTTTCGTGTCTGTATATTAGTTTTCGTATCAGTTTATTAGTTTTCGTACTGACTGACTGTTTTCGTATCAGCTGGTTTTCATATCAGTTTATAGTTTCGTACTGGTTGTTAGGGACTTCACGGGACATAGGGGTTATGTATTTCTGTTTGATCACTAATTTCCCTAGAGCTCTACAGGAGTTCTATTCACAACTACATACTTTATCCAGATCACGTTAACGGAAATATTCCGTGACTTGTCCAAAATGACGGAACTCACAGTAGTGGATGTACATATAGTCAAATATGCGCTTATAGGGACCTTCAGTGTAAAGCTAATACCTGGGACCTTACACTGGTCTGTTAGTTTTCGCATCAGTTTATTAGTTACACACCAATTCATTGTTTTCGCCTCACCTTTTACTTCCACATCAGTTTCCTAGTTTTCATACTGGTCTGTTGTTTTCGTATTTGTATATTAGTTCTCGTACTGGCTGATTTTCTCGTATCAGCTGATTAGTTTTTATATCAGTTTATTAGTTTCGTACTGGTCTATCAGTTTTTGTATCAATTTATTAGTGTCGTACTGGTTTATAGTGTCGTACCAATTTATTAGTTTTCTATCAGTTTATTAGTGTCGTACTGGTCTATAGTGCGCACTGGTCTATTAGTATCGTTCTGGTCTAGTAGTTTTCGTATCAGTTTTATCGTACTGGCTTATAGTGTCGTACTGACTCAGTAGCTTTCATTTTATTAGTTTGCGTGTATATTACTTTTACACCGATTCATTGTTTTCGCCTCACTTTTTACTTCACATCAGTTTCTGGTTCACGCCCCTCCGTCCCAGCCTTGCCATCAATATATTACTTTCGCACCGCTGCGCAGGCACAGCTGGGATCTTGCAAACGACCCATCAAAAATCCAAAGCCGGCCCGTCCAGGCCAAAACTGGCTGGCGGAGCCCCAGCTCACCAGTGCCACACGCCCTTGCTGAAAAGTCGGTTTTTTTTTTGGCGGCGTGCTGGTATTCAGCATAGCAAGCATGTAGTGGCGGGGTGCCCGGCACATTGCGGCGCTCGCTTCTCCACACTACCAGAGCCGCGCGCCGTAACTTCTACCCCAAACCACCTGGTCTTATGCTCAGACTACTTACGCCCAGGCCGCCACGAAATGCCTCTATACGAGCTATACGAGCACGGCTGCTCAGACCGCCGCCGCAAGTGCCGGGAATGGCCCGCGGCGGGCGCTTTTGGGAGCGCCTAGGCCCGCGGATCCATGCCCGCAGCTTGGGCACAACAAGGGGGGCGTCTGTCCACAAATATCCGGCTTCTGGCCACAAAAACCCGGCGTCTGGCCACAAAAACCCGGCCGGCCACAAAACCCCGGCGCTCGGGCCCTGGTCACGTGGGTTGGCGGGCGTGGCCGCGGCCGCCGTGCTAGCGTACGTCGTCGACGAGTACTACTACGCATCCGTGGCGCAGCGAAGCATCCGCGCCGTGGCCGTGTTGTCCCTCGTGGCCTACAAGTACGCGCGCAGTGACGCCGCCAGCATGGAGCAGCTCCACGAGGAGTGTGCGGAGCTCATTTTCGGGATGATTGCGCGCAACAAGGGCCTCTACGTGAAGTTGGGCCAGGCCATTGCCAACCAGGGGGCGCTCTTCCCCGCCGCGTACCAGGCGCGGTTCGCGCGGCTCTACGACGGCGCGCCGGCGGACCCGTGGGAGGCCACGGACGCCACGTTGCGCCGGGCCTGGGGCCCGCACTACCAGACCCAGCTCTTCGAGCACTTTGAGCGGCAGCCCATGGCCTCGGCGCTGATCGCCCAGGTGCACCGCGCGCGGCTCAAGCACGGCGGCGCCGCCGTGGCCGTCAAGGTGCAGCACCCGTATATCTCGCGGCAGATCCACGCGGACTTGGCCGTGTACCGGCTCATGGCACGCGTGTACTCGCGCGTGTTCGGCTTGCCGTTGGACTTCGCCGCGCAGTACGTCTCGGACCAGCTCGCCACGGAGGCGGACTTCACGCACGAGTGCCGCAACTCGCAGCGGCTCGCGGCGTGCATCGCGGCGGACGCGTCGGCCCGCAGCTTGGCCGTGCACGTGCCCGACAGCTACCCGCAGTACGCGGCCCGCCAGGTGCTAGTCACGGAGTGGATCGACGGGATCCCGCTCACGGACCGGCGGCGCTTGGTGGCGGCCCGCGTGTGCTTGCGCCGGCTCATGACGCAGTACCTCTCCATCTTCGCCAAGCAGATCTTCGACTACGGCTTCGTGCACTCGGACCCGCACCCCGGCAACATCTTGGTGCGCCTCCGCCACGGCACGCAGCAGATGGTGATCTTGGACCACGGCTTGTACATCGAGCTCGCGCCGCGGTTCCAGGCGCAGTACGGCTCGTTGTGGCGCAGCGTGCTCGCGCTCGACCGCCTGCAACTCGCGGCCTTGGCCGACGCCTGGGGCATCGGCTCGCCGGACCTCTTGCAGGCCATCGTGCAGTTGAGGCCGCCCGCGGCGGTCCGCGCCGAGAACGCGCCGTCGTCCGCGGACCTCCTCCGCATGCTCCTCGCGGACAGGGCCAAGTTCCCGCCGGACTTGCTCTTCTTGCTGCGCACCATGCGCATGATGCAGAACCTCAACCAGAGCATGGGCAGCCCGGTCAACCGCATCAACTTGCTCACCGAGGTGTCGCTCCAGTCGCATCTCCGCAGCCACGCCTCGTGGGCCGACGTGTGGCGGTATGCCACGGTGCGCGTCTCGCTCGTCGTCAGCAACTTGGTGTTCTGGCTTTTCCGCGCCAGGCAGATCTTGCTAGGCGACCGCTACGGCGACCGCGGCGAGGGGCTCGAGGACTACATCGACAAGTACATGAAGGAGAGTGCGCGAGCCATCGGCATCCACTTTGGCGACGCGGCCTGATCCTCCGTGTGCCGCCATGGTTGTGCCGCCATGGTTGTGGGCGCGGGCCTTGATGTGTGTTCAGCTGGCTAGGTGTCGCTGTGCGTGTCGGCTCCCCCATCTTGCGTAAACGGGAAATGTGTCGTTTCCTTCTCCTCAAACGACAAAGCTTGCTCGACACATGGACTGGCTGTACGAACACGCGGAGCCCATGCGCCTGCTTTGTCTCCAAGGGCACCCAGGCTGTTCACGTGTCTCCAATCATCCTTTACAATGATATGGACCTATTCGAGATGCTGCATGCACCTGCTACAAACAATATGAAAAGGGTTTTTCTTTCTGGTAGATCCATATTAAAGGAGCAAATCTATACAACTGATATGTATATATAGCCTTTAAATAGCCCCTGTTCGAAGCAGATTTGCTTAGATGGCTTATTGGGCCACTTCGTAGGGGCAACGAAACAGCGAAACCAGCTGTGTTCAGACTAGGCTCCGTGGTCGTAGAGGTTGAGGCTCTGCCAGCAAACGTCAGTTTCCAGATGTACATTTCCAAAGGGAATCTCTCTAAGGGCAAACCGGTGTTCGAACCTGTCTTAGGAACCGGTCTGGAACCGCTCGATAATGCCCAGAACTCTGCTTGGCCGGACTCATTTATCATACAAAAGTGCTTTGGGAATTGGTTATCTCACCGAATCCAAAACGGCCGAGTCACATGGGGCCGATCTACTTTTGTAGCCGAGATTATAGTTTCTTGAAACACAACAAGAAAGACATTACGAACCACGGGAAGGACACAAATGACTTGCATTATCGAACACAACAAACAGTTTTTTCTAACTTGTCACACTACAACAAACGCTCTCTGAACGTATCCCATTAAAGGCTGAAACCTCTGCTAAAAGAACCATCATTCTACAAATGCCCTTCTTTTTTTTTGGTAGATTCATCTGATTAAAGGGGCGAAAGTATATAATAAAATACATAAAAAAACCTTTTAATAGCTCCCACTTGTTTTTTTTTTGTTAGATTCATCTGATTAAAGGGGCAAAACTATATAACGAATATATATAAAAAACCTTTAAACAGCTCCCAGCTACGTACCAAGTGTCTTAGCTCGGCCCGTCCCCTTCCGTTAGTCACGGCCTGGACAGTCCTCATGGCACGTATCTGTTTACGTATTGGATATTACGTCATCGACTCCTAGGATAGGTCTCCTGTAGTAGTCGCTTCAACTCGGCTGGTTGTAGCGGACTTAAGGATCCCACTTCCTGCGACTCGCCACGCCTTCTGGTGTAGACCTTGAAGATCGTGGTGACGAACCAATTTAATTTTGTTAAGTTCTCCAATGAGTTGTCGGCTGGGGCCAACATTGAGTTCAAGCTCATGGGCTTGGTAAATTTTAGCTCTTGCCACCAGTATTTGGATGTTTCGCAGTTGTTGTAGATATGGCTTAGGAAAGCGTCGGTGGCGTCTCCGTGGTTGTGGATTTGTTCTGTGCAA